TATATATATAAAAAAATCTTTGGTTTTCTCTCTGAGGTGTTTTTGTTGTTAGCATGAAAGACTTCATGTAGTGCTGCTATCTGCATATCAACTGTAAGACATTCAAGAAGGCAACATTGTTCATTTCTGGGAATTTGACCACCAAAGCCTAACTTCAATACTGCAGCTAGTAATTTCATTATAGCATTCCTTGGCCCATGCACTGAAAAGAAGAAAAAAAAAGAATCTGCAGCTACAGCAATTTAATAACCACTCCAACAGAGATTTTACACATATTATCATATAAGAAGTAGAATAAGTATATAAGGGGACTGGGGTTAGTTGTCACACTTTTGACTCCACTGAACACTTTTGAAAGACACAAACCTTAGCATTGGCTACAGAAAAAAAATACAGCTCATTAAACACGTGGCATGTTGAGCCAATAGTGTGTCGTGTTGTCACTTGTCACACTATATGGAGTAGAAAAATGTAAATGTAAATGATAGTGTACAAAAATATAAAATCATTATTAGGCCTACTAAGTGACAACTAGACCCAATCTTTCTCTTAGCAAAAAATAAAGCCTATAACAACCTTAAAACCTACACTAGACTTCTAAGTCTATAGAACTGTCATTAGGTTTCCTCACGGTTGGCTTAAGTAGCTCATTAATCAATACTGTAAACTTTGATTGGTGTTTAATCTCGGCGGTGATTCTAGCGCCCCCTGTCTGCTGCAGAATGACCAAGATTAACCCTGACATCTACAGGCAGCGTCAACACCCACATGTGTTCACTGCAAACTCAGGAGACATTGTTGTTGTTTTTTTTCAGATACCCTTAGACACCTTAAAATCACTTTATCACAGTTTTTACCTACAAATTAAAATAACGTTTAAAATATGCAAAACTTAAGCTATGACAAAAATGGATGCGCATGCTTTGTGCAATCAATTATTGCATACAGATTTAACATATTTTGTTTACCCAGCCATGTTTACCCACTAAAGCTGTTGATCTCCTTGTCTTTATATAGTGAAACTGTATAAATGCACAGTTAATGCATTTTAGTGTTGTTATTATTGTTATTCTGCATTACGCGCCTCACGTTTCGACGCAGCACAGAGTTGCACGCTGTTCCCGCGCATGCCACGCGACTACTCGACGCGCAAATGAAAACATAAAAACAAGCAAACTTACCTTTCTAAATCTCTCGCATTAATCCTTGGTGTTTAAAGTTCTAGTACGATCCGTTTCTCTTTGCTGAAGAATGCTTCATTAGCCGTTAAATGTGCCCTTGAGACATGAAGCGTCTCATGGCAGATCATGCTCTCGTCTCTGTAGTATCACGCTGCTGTCACACGATTTTGTCTTCTGGGCTTTAAGAGTAGATTTGGGGAAGGCTGCTGAAGGCTCGTCTGCTCCACACGCTGGGATTGGTGTAGCCGTCGATGGAGGCAGGACTCTTGCCTTTTGTCGTCAATGAACAGCTTTAACACAGTTGCAAGTAAGTACACAAGTTGCTTCTGTCAACTGAGGGAACTTTAACTCTTGCAGCGGTGCTGTAATAGCAGCGCATCTGGCAAAAGAAAGTTGATCAACTGCAGAAAATGAGCTCAAAGTGCAAAAGCTGTTATTAACGGGAAGATCATTAATGAAGTGTGTATTTTATTTCACATCTTAATAACAGCACTATAATACAATAAACTCATCTCAAATGGTGTTGTGAGATTAAACTGAAAAGATGACTGCTGGCAATGTAATATGGGATTAAAGTACTGACCTCATAAAGACAAATTGCGTACCACACATTTAAATGTGATAACATGTTAATGACTGCTCTATTCGTGTATTTTCATTGATAAATAGGCTATGAGTTTCCAAAAATATTTCTGTGCCTTGTCTTAATTTTTATCCAGTTTAATTTAAAGGTAGCCTATGGGAGGGAAGCAAGACTTTGAACCAGCCTTTGTTTTTCTTTTTTTGCAGCCTTTCCAGGGTGTGCCCAAAGATCATGACAGAACAAAACAAGGCTTTCACATTTAAGTCAAACAAGTCCATTCAGTACAATAAGTACTGATAATAGGCGCTCAAATAGGTCAAAAGAATATTTCTAGATAAGAATTTTAACCTGCTTGGGAATACAAGGTACTTTAATTTGGCCATTAAAGGAACAGTTCACCCAAAAATTAACTAAAGAATTTCTTCATCAGAACAGATTTTTGGGAAATTTAGAATTACATCACTTGCTCAGCAATGGAACCTCTGCAGTGAATGGGTGCCGTTAGAATGAGAGTCCAAACAGCTGATAAAAATACACAAGAGCTAATCCACACCACTCCAGTCCATCAGTTAACACCTTGTGAAGAGGAAAACTGCCTGTTTGTAAGAAACAAATCCATCATTAGGACGTTTTAAGTCTTCCTCTAGTTCCTCAAATTTTATCTGGAAGCAACCGTTTTAAAGGGGTCATAGGATGCCCATTTTCCACAAGCTGATATGATAGGGTCTTAATGAAAAGTCTGTAACATAGTTTGGTTAAAATTTCTCAATGGTAGTGTAAAAAACACCTTTTTGGTACTTTAATTTGGCCATTAAAGGAACAGTTCACCCAAAAATTAACTAAAGAATTTCTTCATCAGAACAGATTTTTGGGAAATTTAGAATTACATCACTTGCTCAGCAATGGAACCTCTGCAGTGAATGGGTGCCGTCAGAATGAGAGTCCAAACAGCTGATAAAAATACACAAGAGCTAATCCACACCACTCCAGTCCATCAGTTAACACCTTGTGAAGAGGAAAACTGCCTGTTTGTAAGAAACAAATCCATCATTAGGACGTTTTAAGTCTTCCTCTAGTTCCTCAAATTTTATCTGGAAGCAACCATTTTAAAGGGGTCATAGGATGCCCATTTTCCACAAGCTGATATGATAGGGTCTTAATGAAAAGTCTGTAACATAGTTTGGTTAAAATTTCTCAATGGTAGTGTAAAAAACACCTTTTTTACTCTGTCAAAAACAGCTCTTTTCAAATCAAGCCGTTTTTGTAGCATTTTCCTTTAAATGTTAATGAGCTCTGCTGACCCCGCCCCTCTCTTCCGAGCTGCTCTCAGAGAGACTGTTTACTTTACCCGCGTTCATCGTGAAACTTGCTAATTAGCACATTATTAGGAAAGGCGATTTGCAATGATTCATTACAAAACATTATACTCCCTTCTTCTGTAGATGAGGCTGGATCATGAATGATTCGCGCGAACATAGACGCATTTATGCATTTTTACGCATTTTATCATTATAGGGTGGTTGTGTACACACACTACCAACACATATTTCAGTTGTTTTCAAGTATTTTCCAACACATATTTAAGTTAAAATGATGGATTTGTTTCTCACAAACGTGCAGGTTTTTCGCTTTATGAGATGTTAATTGATGGTAAATTGAGGATTACTTGTGGAATATTGTGTAGTTTTTAATCAGTGTTTGGACTCTCATTTTGACGGCACCCATTCACTGCAGAGGATCCATTGGTGAGCAAGTGAAGTAATGCTAAATTTCTACAAATGTGTTCTGATGAAGAAACAAACAACCACATTATAGTAACAGATATATAGACAGATAGATGTGTTGTTAAGGATCATCTTGGAAGCAGTTTACACACGAGGTGTTGTTGTTTTCCACTTGTGGCTGTATGAAGTCACACAGTGTATTTTTAGTAGGGGGATCAAATCGGTCTCAGCTCACTTACCTCTTCATTGCTTACTGACAGAAAATGTGTTTTGTTTTTATATGGTTTGCTAGAAGCCAAGCAAGACCCAAAGGTCTCGAAGCTCTACAGTGAGTGGTTTGATACTTGTACTGCAGTGAAGAGAGCACAGTTACGGTGCCAGTGGTTGATTAAGTAATGACAGAGGGCAAACACAGTCTATATATATTCTGTGTGTGTGTGTGTGTGTGTGTGTGTAAGGGCACACAGCCCCTTAATCAAGTTTGATTTCTGGCACCTCTGCAATCAAAAGTTCAGGATTTTTTAAACTAGGCTCCATTGAAAATTTCAAATTTCAATAGTAAGTAAATAAATAAATGATTAACCAACCATTAAACAAACAAACAGCTTTGAACCAATATTTATTGTGAAGGTGCAATAAAATTATATAATAATTTTGCATTTGTAATATTTTCCAGATAGTATTTTAATTATTTAAAATTTTATTTTAGTAAAATAATATCAAATACCAATCGGTTATTTATGTATTTAGTAGTGCTGTCAAATGATTAATCGCGATTAATCGCATCCAAAATAAAAGTTTGTTTACGTAATATATGTGTGTACTGTGTATATTTATTATGTATATATAAATACACACACATGCAAATATATATTTAAGATAAATATGTTATGTTTATATACTAAATATATTTATATATAATATAAATTATATTAATATAAATATATACATGTAAATATTTTCTAAATATATACTGTATACACTCTTAAAAATAAAGGTGCTTCATGATGCCATAGAAGAACCTTTTTGTCTAAATGGTTCCATAAAGAACCTTTAACACCTGAAGAACCTTTCTGTTTCACAAAAGGTTCTTTGGGGCGAAAAAAGGTTCTTGAGATTATAAAAAGGTAAGAAAGAGATGGTTCTTTAAAGAACCTTTGACTGAATGGTTCTTTGTGGAACTAAAAATGGTTCTTCTATGGCATCGCTTGAAGAACCTTTTGAAGCACCTTTATTTTTAAGAGTGTATGTGTGTATTTATATGTACAGTACATAATAAATATACACAGTACACACACGTAAACCAAAACTTTAGTTTGGATGCGATTAATCACGATTAATCGTTTGACAGCACTAGTATTTAGTTAGTTAGTTAATTAGTTTCTTTTGTAATATCACTTACTATTTTCTCACACAATATAAATAATTCTGAAAATACATAGCTTTATCATTATCTGTATATTTGGGGGTTTGGGGTTTGAAAACCCCTGTTTTAGAGAGCCTTTAAACAAGAAACCTGAAAATCCAAGGTGCAGATCTTTCCCTCAAACTCCTATGACCTCTCTATAGCTGCACACACCACAGTACCTGCACCGACTGCTTGAAGAACCAAAAAGGATTAAGCTGAAGAGACATCAGGACACAGCTGTCATCAAGAAAGACATGAAAGTCTTTAGCCATGAGTCCCAGTGACTTAGTCTGAGTCTGGTAACAGACTGTTACAGTTCCTGGCAAAAGAAGACAACATGCCAAAAAACATAAAAAAATGCCATTGGATTAGCTGATTTATTTATTATTAACTTAATTTTTAAGCAACCACTCAAAGTAAAATCTTTCAGTAAAACTCATCATAGTGGATATACTGCACACTAACACTAACATTCTTCCATCTTAGAAACATTGCCAAGTTACAGAACATGTTACCTGTTTCTGATGCAGAAAAGCTAGTTCATGCATTCATGACCTCTAGACTGGACTATTGTAATGCACTGCTAGGTGGTTGTCCTGCATCTTCAATAAACAAGCTACAGGTAGTCCAAAATGCAGCGGCTAGAGTCCTTACCAGGTCAAGAAAATATGATCATATTACCCCAATTTTGCAATCTCTGCACTGGCTACCTATTAAGTTCCATATCAGTTACAAAATATTACTACTTACTTTTAAGGCCCTAAATGTTTTAGCTCCTGCGTACCTAACTAGTCTTCTAACAATCCATCCCGCTCCCTAAGGTCGCAAAACTCTTGACTTTAGGTAGTACCTAGGATAGCAAAGTCCACTAAAGGAGGTAGAGCTTTTTCACATTTGGCTCCCAAACTCTGGAATAGCCTTCCTGATAACGTCCGAGGTTCAGACACACTCTGTTTAAATCTAGATTAAAGACACATCTCTTTAGCCAAGCATTCACATAAAGTATCTCATAACCTTGTACTTCAGTTACATCTGATCAAATGCACATTTTCATTCTTTTGCTTGGGTTGAACACATAATTTTTTGCTTAGTTGGAACAGCAGCTACTTACATTTTTCTCTATTACCTTCTCTGTTTCTGCCACGGGGTAACTAGGAATTACACAAGCTTCAGTCTGGATCCAGCCCTTACAAAGACCTGAGATGACCGAACACCTGAGAAGAGATGATGCCAACCTCCCAGAGGACCTCAGATGATGCCAACCCTCAGACAACATACAGAACTACCACATTTTGCTATAACAGACATCAACTTGCGATATTTGCCACTGATAAACTATTACTAAATATAATGTAGAATCTTTAATTTTCTGTAAAGCTGCTTAGCAATGATTTGCATCGTGAAGAGCGCTATAAAAAACTTGAATTTAATTGAATTTAACATACTCTTAAAAAATAATGGTTCTTTAAAGGTTTTACAGCCTGATGCCATAAAATA